CACACACAAAAAAAAACAAAACATCCTAAATTAATTCTGCATCCTAGAAATGTGCCTGTTCCCGCTGGATCCTCTATGAACAGTACTCCTGATGTCGCTATGCCCGAAGCTCATGAGGAATCTACAACTACGTATATATGTTGATGCGAGGACTACGAACCTCATGCAGCAGAACATCCATGTCACCAACACGGGTGACGTTCAGGCAGCAGCACATGCAGTACGACTTGCTGCAGAACTTCGGTTCAGGCAGTACGAGGATTTTGCTCGGAACCAGGTGCAATCGGAGCTGCAAGAGTTCAGGAAGTTGGCAGACCAACAGCATCATAGCAAGATTTCCATCTTGCTCGGTAAATTCGACAACTTTGCCGATGAAATGAAGTCTGAGCTGAGATCGCAGGAAGCACGTGAAACCAAACGGCAGGAAACTTTGATGACAGAGCGGCATACAGAACACCTCATTGGTCGTCTTGTCCAAGCGTCCGAGAGGGCAGATAGACAGGATGAGGAAATGGTAGAGATGCGGAAAGCATTTAATTCCAACCGTGCTGAAACTATTTCCCTCCTATCCGGTAAGTTCCCAAGGATAAACGCTTTCTCCGGGCTGCTGCCAGGCGCAATCGAATCCTTGACAAGCTCGCAGCAGCCGGTGTCAGCATGGCGGATTTGAAGCCATACGAGCTCCAAAAGATTGCGCAGCATAAGCCGGAGGAGGAGCGTGGGCAAATGTCATGGGAAGCGCGTGAGATACGGGCAGCCAAAAGTCCAGAGGGCAGCTAAGATGGGCGCCAACTATTCTGGCGTGGCTGACCGCTTTGATCGCGACCCAGCATTTGCTACCCGACAGGTCGAAGTTAGACTGATGCGACAGAGCATGCTGCGGCAGGAGATCATTGCCCGCGGCTTCCTTCCTGATGCTGGGCGAACCCGTCAGCAGGTCATCATGGGCTCGGGTAGCCAAGCAAAGCTCATCTTCTTCAACGGCACCAGGGTGGATCAGATGCGCCCCGTGGGTTTGGTCGACGATCCCACTGCGGACAGCATGGCTGTGGGCTGTCACGGCTCATTCACGGATGTGCCTCCGTTTGCTGGTTTGGCCCTCGGCAACAAGGATGCCCGTCATCTACTCACCTTCAACGACATGGTGCTTTTGAAGGCCGGCTCTTTGGCCGCTTCGATTGAGGAGCTCAATGACGTGATCCGCAACAGTGCCCAGGCCGCCCGCTCCAAGGTCAAATCTGAGCAGGCTGCCCGTGCAAAGCAATCTGCCGCCTCAAAGGCTAAGGCCAAAGCTGCTGCCGTTCCAAGTGCAACCTCGCAGTGCGTGGACCTATGTGCTGTAAATTTCATGCTAACTACACTCACCTCTGAAGCACAGCGGTAGCTACCCGCAAGGGTATGCCCATTTCTTTTGAGTGCTCAGTGTACACCTTAGTGTTTACACATCCGGTGAGGGTTGTGTTTTCGCACTCCGGGTAATTTAGCTACTTTTGATGTTGCTTGTATGTTATAAATAGCTTGTTGATGGTCCGCGCTTTCCGTGCTTGTACGATTGATGGTTCGCTGTGACCTCTCAAGTTGCTAGATGAAAAGAGCTTGACTTAGCGCTTTGTTTCTTGCCGTAGAGTGCTGGTTCCTGTAACTACATCCTCCTCCTCCTGCCGCTGCTGCTGGTCCTGCTGCCGCTGCCACCGGTACTGCAACGGCAACGACTGCACCACGGCTAGTGCATGCTACTATGAGCACTCCTGCTCCTTTAGTCGATCACCACTTGCGATGTGTCTGTGCTTTCTCCTGCTTTGACCCGGGTGGCTCACGGTAGAGCTATACCTGAAGTTTGGCAGCGACTCCCTTGGTAGGGTACGTCTTTGCCTTCGCGCCCGGCCAGGTGTTTTTTGCCAATTGGGCTCCGGCTTGCAGGGTTTTGGTTGAGAACATCTCAGAGTGGTACTCGAACCTCGGATGCGGATCAGCTAGGCAGTTGGACAAAAATTGGTCATGATTACAGTAATCATTCACGCCTTTTGTTTGACAAGAAGTCTCTCGGTAACATCACTGGCTTGTGACATTTTTCTAGGAGGGCTGCTACATGGGTCTGTTCGCACGCCGGCATTGACCGAAGTTAACAGAAGGATTGTTGGGTCAAGTGTTCTTGCTACCACACATTGCGCAGGTGCCAAGGGCTTGTTTTTCCACCCATCCTAACAGAGCAGCTTCCATGAACAAGGAGATCCCAATATACATCCCAAATACTGTGATCCTCGTTACAGGGACCCGTATTTTTTAAAGCCTCCTCATAGAATGCGAAAGGGAAGAGCTTCGGCTCAAAGAGGTGGAGAGGGTGATTTGTCCGGCTCAGGGTTGAACCGCAAAATGAGAATCTACACTTCAATAGACCAACCGCAAAGAGTCCTATATAGGGGTTATCTAGGGGATATACTGGGGTTATGTAGGGATAGTGGACAAGAACATGGAAACTACAATATTATAATGAGGGGTGTGTGCATATGTATACATAATTTTGTTTGGGCTAGCAACTCCAAAGCCAAAAGCCTGCCTATCTCATCACAGACATGACATCCTTAACAAGCAAGCGCAGTTTCGGAGCAAAGGCTTCTCTTCCTGGTCTACCGTTGTGGCATCGGATTTGCCGTCATCAATGCAACCGGGTCAATTTGGGGTCGTGATTCCAGTGGAGTTCCGCTTGTTTCGTCTGGCTGGATTGCTTTCCTGCTCTGCGTTTAGCTTCCCTACACCCGTCAAAATTGTTCAATCGTCACATGTCAATGTGATAGAAAGAAACTCGTTTTCATCCAAAGAGAGCACTGGACGGCTTCTGAATGGATTAGTTTCAGATATTTATTTGCTTTCGTAACTTTCGCCCGGACATGTAAGGGAACAAGGCACAGCTGATTTGTGCTTAAGCATGCATGTCCACTATAATCAGGAGTTAAGTTTCGTCTGTGAGAACTTGTGTGTGCTTTTGAAAGCGAGGTCGTGAATGCCGTTTTCGTGCAGCAGACTATGCAAGTCGCCAAAGGCGACGAAGAGGTTTTGCTCATGGAGAAGCAGAAGGCGGAAGAGAAGCACTTGGGCTGTTGACCTGGAAGTTCACTGAACTCCTAAGGGAACAACAAATCACATTAACATGAATGTATCCTAAAGTTTTGCAAGAGAGCACGTTTCCGAAAAAGATACGCAAAACGTGTGTTGTCAGTTTGACATTAACTCAGGTATTTGAAGAATATTGGCAAGATTTTTCAAACTCTGGATACCTCCGGAGACGGGCTCCTCTCCTGGCCAGAGTTCGAACTCCTACTCAACGCCGCGTGGCCGCATCCAACAGGAGTTATTATAGTTGAACCTTACAGCTTGCAAGACTTCTGCAGTGGCCTTCGGTTACAAGAAAGTTTAGCAGTGCTTCGACGGGATAATTTCGCCTGGCCATCAGCATGGGTTCAACACCAGCAGGAAAAAAGATACTGACAGGACACCCTGAAGCCACCTCTCAGGACACCAAGTTGAAGTTTGTCTTGGACAAATTGGAGATAGCAGCCGGGGACCTCAAGACGCTGTTCGATCTCCTTGACGACACTGGCGACGGAGAGATCTCCGCCGCTTGGCTGGCACTTGTTGATGCCCGTGCAAAAGTCGCTCCGACAACAACCTATGCAGTACTCTACGCTCCTGCTCAGTGTCCGGGGCCTTTGTCAGGTTCGCAGCCAGGGTGGAAGGCATAGAAGATGTCGTTAACTATTACGTGCTGCTAGAAGGTCGATGAGTTTGTGGAGGGCATCACTCGGTTCAAGGGCGCTGCAAAGAGCCTCGATGTTGGCCAGCTCCTCCTCCGGAGCCGCCGACTGGAGCGGGGCATCATGAACTTAGAGCAGCACCTCCTGCCCGAATCCGAAAGGAACCACACAAAAAATCGTGCTTCAACAGCATAGCTGAATACACAGGCTCGCCCCCCCACGTGGTGTGTTCATGGCAGCATGTAGGAAAGCGTAGAAAGCTTGTGTTTTTGTGCACGGTCAGTGCCAGGCAGCCGAACCTCCTGCACTTGGGAATTGCAGAAATTGGCATGGCCCGGGGTCAAAGATCCTGAGCCTTGCCCTAGTGCTAGATGCCTTAGTAGCCATGCTACATTTTCCTCGCTATCCATTCCTTAATCTGCTGCGCTTGTCCCCATGCTAACGTTGTTTTAGTGGGGCCCATGCCTGCTAATGCTTGGATTTGTGAGCTCTTCGACATACCATGTCCCAGGCCGTAGTTTGGTGGCCAGCAGAGTTGTCAAGAATCTTGACCTGGAGAGTGGAGAGAATGCAGATCCAATAAATAGTTCCAGCTTCGCGCGCTGACTGCAGAAGCAGTTGAGCAGTGTGAAGCAGTTCACAATGCCAAGACCCACCACAGCTCAGCTCGCCTGGTGTGGAGGGCATACTTATTCGCAGAATCCTGGCCAAGCCATCCTTTAATGTTTCACCGTATCTTCCTGCCTTTCTCCTAGCAAGCAGCAGAAGCTCCAAGGGTCCTCTGCTGCTGCAAAGACTGCGTACTCAATACCCTCGGGCCAAAATTTGAGCACACAACTTATGCAGATCCGATGGTTCCGTCCACTGTTGGTCGCCTCTGAAACCTGAAACCTGATGTGCTAACTCTGGCCCCAGCAGACTACACCTGTTGCACTGACAGAGTATCCGTCCGCTCAGCAGCAAGCGCGGGAGTTCCAAACTGTTTGGGCTGACAAGTCGCAAGAAGTCGTTGCTGAGGTCGGCACGATTTCCGCTACATCGAGTCAGACAGTGTCCTGGCTGAGGAAGATTGCGCATATCACTGACATTGTAACCAGTAGTCTTCAGTAGGGACATGTGTCTGAGCCTGCCTCGTGTTATGGCTGTCACAAGCTGTCAGGTTACTGAGCTGGTGACTGGGAACGGCTCGAACGAATTGGCGAGGAGCCAGTAGTGTGTACATATGCATGATGGGAGGTCGAGGCTCTGTAGCATGTAGTGAATCAATGCATATGGATTTGCAATTTCAATACACGGGGCCTCTACCCGCGTACAAGGGCGTCCGACACCACGGAGAGTTTTGGCATCTGCCGCTGGAGAATCTCCAACCATCAGACGCCAATCTGACCTCACGGCTTGGTTTCTTGCGAAGCCAGTTGCCGTGCCTTCTGCTTGTATACTGCTTTCATACAGCTGTCAAGCTCTCTGAATGTTTGCCAGTAGGTGGGTGTCTGGGCGCCGGCCATGGGCTCCTGCAATGCACGCAGATGCAGGGCTTGAGCCAATTGGCATCAGCAAACTTCGCAGATGAGAGAAGGTACACTCGCAGAATCTGCAAGGCTCTGTCTGTGGTGCTTTTTTTGGTTTCTGGAGTCTCTTAATCTCTCTCACGCCATCTCACGCTTGATGCTGGTGCCGCGGCTTCTTTGTTTCAGCCCCACGGTCCCTGAAATTCAACGGCCTGGCGGGCTTCAGTAATATCCAAGCGGGAGGCTTTGCACAGTCAGACAGGGTCAATGACGGCCTCCTGAGACTGCTTGTCTTTGGGAGGGACCACGGCCCAGTGGGAGGAACCACAGAGGTGTAGAAAAAAGCATGGCAGAGAGGCAAGGTTTAGCATAATAACTGAGGAGGACACCGGCATGCTTTCCAGCACAAAAACATCATATTCCTGTTTTTCAGGAGACACTGTGAAATTATGCACAATCGCTGATGGACCTGCTCAAGAATCCGCGCGACCTACAGCTTCATATAATATGGGGTTATGGGCTGAAAGAAGGTCTGCCACTTCTTTCGGAGATTCCTGCGGGTGGACCAATGACAGCGGAGTGCCCTCCCATTGCAAAGCCGCCAGCTTGGCATAACACAGTTTGCATTAGGCCACGATTATTGGCCAGAAAGCGCCATCATCTGCCGCGGCCGTTTGAGATGCCTGTGCCCGGATGCAGATGATTGGTAAAGGAGATGTCCCTGCATGTTTGCAGTTGTCTAGTCTTCTTGTGCCTCTTCTCCCATCTTGGCAGCACCAGTATGACAAAGACGTAAAGTCAAAGCTGGCCTGGCCAATGCAGGTTCGCGACTTTGCTTTTGCAGAGCAGCTTGTGACAATTGGAGGGGCCCAGGACTACGAGCTGCGACTTCTGCCGGAAACCCACAGCATGCTGATGCAATAGAGGCTAGAGGGTAGGGGGGTCTCGCATGTCGGTATCTCACAGGGGTATGACATTGGCAATCATGGAGCGGGTACAGCAGGATTTGGCTTCCCGGCTAGCCTTCACCGAAACTTTCGGAAATGCTCTTTGCCGCTTAGGCTGGCTTTTCCTGACGCCAGGGATCCCGAACTCCTGAAGTTCGCAGGTGGTGGGGGCCGGGTGTGATGCGTTTGCCTTGATTCCCGTGTTTTGCAAGGATGAACTTTGAGGATTTGAGGGTTGATCAGGGGCCAATTGAGGGCTGGAATTACAGTAAGCCCTTATTTAGCCTGTCAAAATGGTAGTTTCCCTAAATAGGGGGACCCCAATATAGACCCCAAAATACTATAGTCCTTATAATAGGGACCCCCAAAATGGTACCCCTAATTTTGGGAAACCCTAATCCCTATAATCCCCTATAT